TGTTGTTGTTTAGTTGCTATCCATTTTGCAAGCAAAATCCTATCAACTTAAATAGATATAAAGTAAAAATAAAACCAAAAAACATACTTAAAATAATTCACGTGTAACGTACGTGTGCACCAAATAGTGTGTATATATCTATACTACTAATAAAAGGAAGGTAAGTAAAAACTTTTGATTACCTATTATGTCCCTATAAAAAATATAAAGTCATTTGTGTCCTTATTTATTTAATTACCTAATATTAATTATATATTCAAATGACTCTTAATATACTTCCNACTAATAAAAGGAAGGTAAGTAAAAACTTTTGATTACCTATTATGTCCCTATAAAAAATATAAAGTCATTTGTGTCCCTATTTATTTAATTACCTAATATTAATTATATATTCAAATGACTCTTAATATACTTCCATTTCCACAAGAATTATTGTTGCATGTATTGCACTTTTTTTTTAAATATAATTTTCTAATTACCTAATATTTATACTACTAATAAAAGGGAGCTAAGTGAAATTTTTTTGATTACTTATTATGTCCATATAAAAAATATTAAAGTCACCTGTATCCTTATTAATTTAATTACCTAATATTAATTATATATTTAAATGACTCTTCATATATTTCCATTTTCATAAGAATTATTGTTCCATATATTGCACTTTTTTTTTTAATTTTCTAATTACCTAATATTAATTATATATTCAAATGACTCTTCATATACTTCATTTTCATAATAATTATTGTTTAATGTATTATACTTTGTTTTTATATATCTTGAGTTAATGACGCTATCTCTCTTTCATTTACTTCTCATAAACATTTTGTTTATAATAAATTCATTAACTATCTTTACTTATGAAAAATAATAGATTATCATTAATATAACTATTATGCCATCGATAACCGTCGTAAAGTTCAATTTATCATTTATCTAATACGAACTGATGTGTAGCTTTTGCACAAATTCCTGACGATAAATATATTAATTAATCAAATGGAATTTGAATTATTTCATCTTCCATTTTATCGCTATGTGAACTACTAATAGTCAAATATTTAATCCCATGAATTTTAATCCTAAATGAATAGTAATATTATTTTATTTCTTTCCCATTCTCTCATACTCACGTGTTTTATCTAGTTACAGGCTATTGCTCTTTTCATATAATTTATGTTTTGTTTGGAGCTAAGCTTGCACTAACATCTTGAAAATTTTCTTCTTGATTTGTTGAGTGTTTTTTATTTATAAACAAACGTGATCAATTGTGGAAGGTCACTGTGAAAATGGCATCTTGAGAATTATTTACTTTAATCATATACTTTATATGTGTTTAATTTCCATGACAGTAGGTTCATTTTTTGTTTAACACTGTAAAACCCTGGTAAATTTGATTTTTTGTGAAAAAGGGCAAAACGATAATTTGACACTTTGGTGTGGGTTAAAAATCCATATTTTTCTACGCACAGGATATCATCATTTGAGGATTAGGGAGGTACATATCCCTAAGATGGCATTTAGGACACGGTATGGACATTTCGAGCTCATAATGATACCATTCGGATTGACGAATACCCTGACAACATTTATGAATCTCATGCATAGGGTGTTCCAATCTTACCTAGATCAGTTTTGTCATGGTTTTCGTTGACGACATTTAATCTACTCTGAGTCTGAGAAGAAGCATGAAGGTCACTTGAGGGTTATTCTCTAAATCTTGAGGGACCATCAGTCGTACACCAAGTTTAGTAAGTGTGTATTTTGGCTTATGGAGGCAAAATTTTTGTAATACGTGGTGTCAGCTTTAGAAGTATTAGTTGACCCAGAGAAGGTTGACACGGTTTATGAGTTGGGAGAGGTTGAGGTCAGTCTTCGAGATATGCAATTTCTTGGGATTGGCAGGTACTATAACAGGTTCTTTGAGGACTTTTCTCGACTAGTTGCACCTATGACCAGACTAACCCAGAAGGAGATCAAGTTTCAATGTGATGACTCGTGTGAGAGAACATTCCAAGAGTTGAAGAATAGGCTTACTTCAGCTCCGATTTTGACAGGTACACAGTGTATTGTGATGCCTCTAAGGACGAACTTGGGTGTGTTTTGATGCAGTCCAAGAGGGTGGTAGCTTATGGTTCTTGACAATTAAAGAATCACGAGCAGAACTACCCTNTAGCTCCGATTTTGACAGGTACACAGTGTATTGTGATGCCTCTAAGGACGAACTTGGGTGTGTTTTGATGCAGTCTAAGAGGGTGGTAGCTTATGGTTCTTGACAATTAAAGAATCACGAGCAGAACTACCCTACGCATGACATGGAGTTGGCGGTCATTGTCTTTGCCTTGAAGGCTTGGTGCCACTATTTGTATGGTGAGTAGTTTGAGGTATTTTCGGATCATAAGAGTCTAAACTATATTTTTACATAGCGGGGCCTCAATATGAGGCAACGTAGGTGGTTGAAGTATTTGGAGGACTATGACTTCACTTTGTACTACCATCCTGGTAAGGCAAATATGGTGGCTGATGCAATCAGCCGGAAGTCACGGGGA